AATTGCTCCTTTGTTCCTTTTGGAACAATGCCTGTGGAGCACCCTTCTGGGCACTGCAGGTCAGCCAGGGGGCCATGATACTTTCACACACACACACACACACACACACACACACACACACACACACACACACACACACACAATTCAGATTCTATCTATGAAGCAGAAATGAGTGTAATGGGAGGAGGAATGCCTGTGGAGTGCCACATTTGCAGCTTTGTGGGTCAACAAAATGTCCCTCATCTATTTTTGTCCCTGTGTCCTGGGGTTTGGGATATGCCACCTCTGCACATTATATACTTGTGTCCACATGCATAGAAAGGAAGCAGAGATGATATCATAGCAGCAAATAGAAAAGAAATGCTGCAAGAATGTAGGGATGAAGAAAAGCAACTTAATAAAATACTTGCTATTTATTTACTTATTTAGAGGTTGAATTGCCATTGGTAGCCAAGGCTAGCATCAAACTTGCCTCAGCCTCACCAGTGCTGAGATTATAGGCATGCACCATCACATGTGGCAAATGACAAAATTTGACAGGGCAATTTGTTAAGGAATAAAGCAAGATTTCATCTATTGAAGATTTAAATAGGGGTTTTATATATCAGGACTAGGAAGACATGGTTTTCTCAGCAGTAGGTTGTACCCAAGATTCTGCTGAGGTGTAGCCCTGGATACACTTCTAGACTGTGCCCTTCCCCCCATACCAAGGAGCACTTAGTGTAAGGACAGACATTTTGGCTCCATTTCCTGCTCCCTTTTCTCCTTCCAGGATATCTCCTAGGGCATCTGCACCTGCCCTTGCACAGTGGAGGAAGGAAAGTGGGAAACACATGAGATTCTTTCTGTATATTAATTAGCTGTATCAGAGAGTGAATTAGAATCACACAATGCCTGTCTTCCATCAGCCCCCATCAATCCTTCTAGAACCTGGGCCCAACTGTCTATTCAAAAGGCTGGTCCTCTCATGATGCTCAGACGTCCCTTGGTGTGGGCAGGCTTTCATTCTCTCCCATGGTCTGGGATTTCTACCTAGTTTCTTTTGCCCCACAAACCATTTGGGTAGAATATTCTTCCTCAGGTCATTCTGGCACACTGAGATGTACCCAATAATCAGCTATGTAAATAAGGTATGTATTATCAATAATGATTTGATAGGCTGCCCCATCAATGCTTGTAAATGTAAAAGTTATAATAAGGGCTAAGAAGGAAGCAAATCAAAAACCAGGAATTTTAAAATGGCATTGGATGTTAATCTATTAATCTGAAATAATGTTTTTATATATTTTTTATTTTGAATTATAAGTCCTTAATTTTTCCATTTCTTCCCTCCTACCTCTCTCATATAGACTTCTTGATCTTTCCCAAGTTCATGGCCATTTTTTCTTTAATGTTTATATACAAAATCTATATAGTTCTAAATATACAAATACACCCTGTTCTGTATGTATAATGTTTCTTGTATGTGTATAATTTCAGAGCTGGCTTCTTGGTATTGGGTAGAGACACTACACATAAGATAATGTTTTAAGTATCATTAGGATAATTTATAGAATAACTAAGGGTCTATAATGCAAACTCCACTTAGACAAGCACTGGATATCACTCCAGTGTTTGGTAGTGTGGTGTTAAGAATGAGACTCTCTCTATAGGCTCTGGCATTTGAATTCCTGGTTCCTTGCTGGTGGCTGTTTGGGGAGACTTGGGAGGTGTGGCCTTGTTGGAGGAAATTTGACGGTGGGGGAGGACTTGAAGTTTCAAATCCATGTGCCATTCCCTGTTCCTTCTGTTTCTTGCTTGGGATTTGAGATGTGAGTGTGTAGTTTGCTACTCCAGTCACCATATCTTGCCACTGCCACACTTATTTGCCATGGTAGTAATGGACTCTTATCCTTCCTTCTGTAAGTTGTCTTGGTCATGATGTTTCATCACAGAAATAGAAAAAGCACTAGTGATGTACAACACAAAAAAACAGTGTGCAGGCATTAAAATGGCATTATAAAAGAAGAGGTACTCAGAAGGAAGTGATATATATTCAATCCAAATATACACATAATTAAATAAAATTAATTAATTAATTGTGTGTGTGTGTGTGTGTGTGTGTGTGTGTGTGTGTGTGTTTATGCCATAGTACATATTGGGAGGTCAGAGTATAACCACCTGAGAGTCAATTCTCTTCTTCTACCAAAAGGAAGCCAGGAATTGAACTCATGTCCTCATGTCCCCAGCAAGCACCTTACTGGGTCATTTAGCTATACCCCACTGTGTTTTTAAGGATGCTGGAATAAAGAACTATCTCTCAACCAGCCTCTAAACAATTCATCAGCCACTAAACAGATGATAAGATTTTGCCTGAGTGAGAAAATGTATATAGAAAGAAAGGTTTATGCTTATCTCTTTGTCCCCTAATTGCTTGAAATGTCACAATGATAGATTGAATTTTCATTTAAGTTTATACACTCCACTGTCATTTTATTGCTCAATGTAAATGTCTTAAATATTTTTTTAAAGCAACTTTGACCCAGAAAAAATAGTGTATCAAGAATATTTTGTCTCTCACTAGTCAGAAAATGTTATAAAGGCCCAAGAATTTTGAAACTCTTCAGGAATGGTGTATATGGAATTGTCAAAGTCAGAGGCTAGTGTGACTGAGTCATAGGCTGTGACTTTTCTTCCAGCCACCAACATACTGGACCTTTTAGGCTGACTTTCTAGAAATGTGTAACTTTGATTGGTTTGTAGTAAAATTAATCAAAAAACAAACCTGAACCTAAGTAAAATTTTTAAAAGCCAGACAGGCTTTTGGTGCTGTCTCATTTCCCTGAAGGTGCAGAGATATATGTTATGAAAAGTGACAAGAAAGGAATCTTGCTATAGGATGGAGTCTACTTAGCATTTCACACATGCCTGGTATGGGTTGTTGATATGATAAACCTAAATTATCTTAGACTGTCAAGACAAATGATAGATGGGCTTCAGGTGAGACCTGCATGGGCTTTGAATTGATGCTGAGGCAGGTTGAGATTTGGGGATGCCAGAATGGGGTGAATGACTTTTCTGCATAATTTGACATAAATCTGTGGTGAGCAGAGGGTATGATAGGTAGAATATATATTCTACTCCAAGATCTATTTTCTTTCTAATTTCTGTATTCCCCATTACCTAATATGTCAAGCAATATTATTTAACTGAAGATCTTGACAAGTAGTGATTATCCTATGTTATTAACCAGATGACTGGTCAAGGAAGTATTTATCTCGAGGTTGGTTCCCTAAGCATTAGAGATTTAAATTAGAAAACACTGAAGGTTAAGTCAAACTAGAAAATGAGATCGAAAAGTGTAAACAAAAGCTGATAGATATAACATATATCTCACTCTGTAAGGACAAACCTAATATCCATCACTTGAAAACCTTGCTTTGTTCTGGCTATAGGGCATTGTCGTGTTAATGGTATCTTTAAGCTAAAAAACAGCAAGTAAAGGGACCTTGTCCTGGTCAATGAACTTATTCTGGCCTGGAGCAAATCACAGTGATTTAATTTCCTATTACCTGGCAAGGACAAAAGGGTTAGAGGTTGCTCATGACAGAGTTTTACCCCTGCACTCAATCAAGCAGCCTGTAAAGAACATGCATCTGTCCTACCCTTGGACAAGCATGAATGAACACACAACCTAGAAGTGAAAAGATGCTTAAATAAAGGACATTAAGGAAAAACGCCAAACGTTGCTTACATGCAAACTACAATGAACTTAAGGATGCCCGAGGATCTTCTAGACTCTATTCTGCCAGGTAGAGTGAGTGCTCTGGGTATAGTACATTCAGACAGACTAAATATGAGACTGATTGTACTATATCTTATTTGTGTTAAATTCAACAAGCTACTGAAGTCTTTGAGCTTTTGTTCTGTCAACTATAAATCAGTGATAATAATATATATCTTATAAAGATATTGTAACTGCTAACTAAACAAATTTCATACATCCAGTGTCTTTACCAGTGGCCTATATAAATTTAACTGTAGCTGTTCTTTGATGATACATTGCCAAATGGGAGTTGGTCACACTGTACATCTAAAAACAGAAGGTACTTCGGAATAGGGCATGTTTTTCTAGTTATCTTTAAATCTTTAATGTATACTATTAACTCCTTTTTTCAGAACAAAGTCTCTGGAAAAGCTTTTATGGTCTGGTATTTTTTCTTTAAAATAGAAACACTTTTTTTTTTTTACATGTCAATCCCAGTTCTCTTTCCCTCCCCTCCTCCCCTACCCCTCACCGACACCCTATCCCATCTCATTTCTGTTCCCCAGGGAGGGTGAGGCCTTCATCATGGGATTTTCAAAGTTTGTCATATCATTTGAAGCAGGGTCTAGGCCCTCTCCATGTGTCTATGTGGAATGGGCTCCCAAAATCCATTCGTATACTAGGGATAAATACTGATCCACTAACAGAAGCCCCGTAGATTACCCAGGCCTCCTAACTGACACCCTTGTTCAGGGGGTTTGGGTCTGTTCTATGCTGGTTTCCCAGCTACCAGTCTGGGGTCCATGAGCTCCCCCTTGTTCAGGTCCGCTGTTTTCTGTGGGTTTCTGCAGCCTGGTCTGAACCCCTTTGCTCATCACTTCTCCCTCTCTGCAACTGGATTCCAGGAGTTCGGCTCAGTGTTTAGCTGTGGGTGTCTGCTTTTGCTTCTCTTCAGATTGTATAAATCTTTCACCTTTTATTATTAACTCTTAATATTAGTCATGGGCATTGCTGTCTCAAGCTGGGATCAGTTGAAGCTAATCCAGCAACTGAAGTAGACGACTTCAGAGAGGAAGAGGAGCAGGTTGTAGGTAACGGTGGCGATATTAGCCCACAATGTAGCATCTTTGGGTACAAAGGAATAGGCAAAGATTTGAGAAATAATTTTGGCAAGACACACCAAGATGCCTGGAATTGTCTAAGTGCTTGAAAGCCGGACAGACTAAGCTAGCCTGGAAAGGTGAAAAGTTATTACCTGAGATGAACACCATCCACAGCTCCATGGAAACCCATTTCTTCCTTCCTGAAAAGAAGGCAATGGAAGATTATCCAATGGATTTTTATGATGCCTTACAGAACTAAAATCTATTAATTCGTATTTAACCTCCGATATCAGAATAAGGTTTTTAGCCATTTAATATTTCCAGTTGTAGATCAGGAATGACATATTTGGATAGAACTGCTCTGAATTGTTTCTTCTTCACAAAGAACAAAACCCACTGTCATCGGTTGTGGTGGCGCAGGCTGGTAAGATTTGCTGAAGGAGGCAGAGGCAGGAGGATCTCGAGTTTGAGGCCAGTCTGGACTACACATTTTATCCAGCAGCTGGTGGAAGTAGAAACAGACACCCACAACTAACCACTGAACTGAACTGGAATCCAGTTGCAGAGAAGAATAAGTGATGAGCAAAGGGGTCCAGACCAGGCTGGTGAAACCCACAGAAACAGCTGACCTGAACAATGGGGTGCTCTTGTTCCTTAGAATGATAGCTAGGAATACCAGCATGGGACTGATCCAGACCCCAGGAATGTGGGTTTCACTGAGGAGACCTCTGAAATCTACGGTACCTCCTATAGTAGTTCAGTGCTTATCCCTAGTATAGGTGTGGGATTTGGGAGCCCAATCCACATAGAGGGATACTCCCTGAGCCAAGACACATGGGGGTGGACCTAGGCCCTATCCCAAGGGATATGATAGACTCTGGCGACCCCCTATGGAGGGCTTCACCCTCCCTGGGGAGCAGAAAGGATATGTGATAGGTATGGTTTTAGTTGGGGGGAATGTGTCAGGGGAGCAGGGGAGGGAGAGGGAAATGGGATTGACATGTAAAACAATCTTGTTTCTAATTCAAATAAAAACAAAACAAAACAAAAAACCCATTGGCATCTTGGTTTGACTTGGGTGTGGGATCCAGAACTTATTCATGGTTTTCTCAGCAAGGTCTCCATCTCTCTCAACACTACTGTGCTACTGGAATTAAGGTCAAGTGTAGTACTTGGTAAGTAAAGCTATGACTTTGAAAAGCACCCTAGCTACATTTTCCTAAATCCCTATTGATGTTTATTATACTTTCTAACCACAGTGGCATTAAAGAGATGGTTATATATTTTCCTATATGTTTTGTGCATAGTGTTGGGTCATTCCCTACATCTTTGTTTCTGTTTATCTGAAAAATAAAACGTCTGAGCTAAAAATCAGAGGAGATATTTCACTATAGTGAAGAAATAATATGGGGTATTTCATATAAAGTATTAGTTTATGGACTGTAAGAAGGAAAAATTTGTCATTGAAGAAAAATGACTGCAGAAGTATACAATCAGGATTCATCTAAACACTACCACCATGTGTGGGTGCTTGTGTGTACATATGTGCACACACGCCCACCCACCTATCCACACACCACTATACAATTGGCAAGGAAGAGAACCAACAAGTGGGCCTGATGACAATGTGCTATATTAACTGTGAGCCAGAGAAGGAGCAAAGAACCTGTCTGGTTACCTAGCCTAGAAACTGATAGAAGAATAAACTTCTAATTGGAAGCTATTCTCCAAGTTTCCAGACTTCCATAAGGCATAATGCAATGTTTGAAGAAATCCAGAATGAATAAAACACAGGGCATAATACCATACAACAGTGTTATGGACCAAAATACCTTTTCTTAGACAAACAGACATTGAACTAGAGAAATCACTCAGAAAAAAGTTAGTGTTTCCCTGAGGAGCTTTTACATCCTACAGGCCAAAAAGATTCTCATTGTTACTTCTGAATAATTAAAATGGGACTCTACAGTGGTCATGGTCTTCAGTGAGTGGGTGGAATAGGGCTTTGTGTTTGAAGAAACACTGATTTCCAAAGCGTGGTCACTGGACCCATGTGGAACCCATTAAGTCCTAACTTCTCTGGCTGCATATCCACCCAATGTTTGCATTTCTTTTTGTGCTTCAACAAAAATAACAGATTGCAACCAACTCAAAAACATGCTATGAGTGTCTCGTTGTTTCCTAGTTAAGATATATGCAAAAATATAATAAAGTCATCTTCTCACTAATTTGTATTGGTCAATGAAGTTAGTTGGTTTTCCTTTAAAAAGGCGCTGCCATTTATTTGAAAGTAAATTAGTTAATTGATTATTAAAGTATTAACATTTTAAGATTTTTTCTAATGTGTTAAATATTAATAAAGACATAACTTGTATACTAAAAGTAGTCCCTGAGGTTTTCAAAATGAGTGTAAAGGGTTCAGACTCAAACATATTATTATAGAGGGCTATTAATTCAAATATCTCTGAAGAAGTAATCAAACATTTAGTAGCAGTAAAATCTAACAATATATTGGTTTCTGATTTCACAGGTGTCATACTGTTTGGGAGATATAGTGGCTACTCACCGGGTTATTTATTTGTTATAGAATGGGCTGACCAAACAGGAATGCAATACCTACTTTTCAGAGTTCTGAATCCCACCACCTTACATTGGATTTGAGCTTTGAGTAAGCCTTGACAGGCAATCAATACCAATGGGCACCATGCTATTCACCTTCACTTTAGCCTTTACAGTAACCCAAGGACCACAGAAACTTTATTGCACATACACATTATTGAATTGAGCGAACAAAAATTGAGACTAATACAAAGAAGATCCTCTATTGATAGTGGTGTGAAATATTACAGTTTGAAATATTACTTCTAGGTTGCTGGTTGAAATCTCATCAGTTAGATGTATAAAGTGTGAAAATATCTCTCAGTATTTCATTGGGGAGCGATTTACCGGAAACAGTAAACAGCACAGCTAAGCTCCATCTTCAGAGCAAACATATTTATGAGTGTAGGCCAATCTCAGCAAACTAGGCTAATTGAGACAAACTCCAAGATAAACCTATACAAATCAATCTAGAGTGGTAATACTTTCAAATGAAATACTAAAATAAATAAAATAGTGTTGATTTATAGCTAATGCCTTTTTACAGTTTTAAATAAAGGAGCTTTTAAAAGTATTATCGGATTTACTTAAATGAGAAAAAGATACATTATTTGAAATCCTGAGCAATTGATACAGTTTCTGGTTCAGTTTTCACATTAAACTAAATGATGTCATTGTCACCATAACCAGTAGCTCTAAGATTCTGTGCTCTGTAAGACAGAATGAGCATGTTTTTCTGATGAAGTTTGGAAATGTCTTTTTCTTTTAGTGTCTAATATGTTTCTTTCTGTGCTATAGCTAATTGGGGGTACATTGTAAACTATATTTGCTATGAGCTTTAAAAGAAATTCACTATGGTATAGCAGATCATCACAGAACAATGAATACTGGTATGAGGTAGGTGACACTCTGCAAAGGACTTCAAGGCCACCTTTATTGAGAATTACTATATTTCAAGCAAGTGAAAAATATTTGCCATTAAAGAATTGAGATTTTTCCATAAGATAATCTTGTCTCATTTATCACTGTGCTATTTTTCCTTTACTCTTAAAAATTAATTATTATTTTGATGGTACATATGTGTGGGGCATGATGATTTTATCCAATTATTTGATGTGCAATTACCAATTCAAGATATTTAACATTTCCATCTCCTTAAATAATAATGAAAAAATCACCATTTCTCAGACAACCTTTGAAAGAGTTGATGTAGACTGGAGGCAGTCATACTTTTGACATAAATCCAACTTTACAGTTTCTCTCTTTTAGTAAAATCCATACTACTTGATTAAGGAACTTCAGCATTTACTACTAGGTTTGGTGAATCTCTGAACAACTCTGCCCTCAAGGATCTCAATCCAGGGCAGCAGAACAAACACTTTTCAAAGACTCTGCTAAATCAGACCCATCAGCTTATAGTCTTTTAAGTAGCCAATTATTATGAGAAGTTCTAGTTCTATGACACCAAGGACTTTCAGGAGTCATGAACTCTGTATGATTATAAAAACTGGAACCTTCATTAAAGGACACATAAAGTTAATTAAAAGGTAATTAAAAGGATGAGGATTTTTGAATCTCTGATAGTCTCTACTTATTAAGTCCATCTGGAATGCTGAAAACTATGGTCAATGCCAGGTCAAAGATATTAAGAGTTTCTCCTGGGGCAGTGATAGCCTTTCAGTTTTGTTTGAGGAGTCCGTTGTTTATATAACTTACAGTCTTCTGACATCCTATCAAGAGAAGGAAGGATCAGGAAGTCTATAATACATGCCTAGATTCATTAATTCTACAGGATCTGTGCAGGAAATGCTTGACTACAAATGCAGTTTATATTTACATTGCAGTGCATTGAGACAGCCCGGATGGAAGGCTCTGATAATTATATACAGATTCTAAGTAAACAGGAATGGGTTCTAAAATTATCACTTTAGAAAACTAATTAGTTGACTCCTTTATCCTCTTTACACAAAACAGATTTCTCTGAGAACAAAAGCAATAGAGGCAGAACTACAGCCAAGGGGAAGGTTTTTGGAAATAAAACAATAGAAATGAATTCAAACATAAGATTGATCAATAGGAGAAGATTGATGAAAAATGAGCTTTCCCCGAAGTGGATGAGAAAATGATTTCTCCAACAGGAAAATGCCTGTCCTTGCCTCTTGCAAACTTTACTTTCCTACTGGACTGGGTTTTATACACAGTTCTGCCCAGGTAGAGAGCCCCTCCTGCTGACCAAACCGTGTGTGCTGGGGGCCTGATGCTGGCTTTCCATGTCTCACATGTGTCAGCCAAAGTGAGAGTGCTGAGATGTACCTGGCTTTCTTTTTGACAGAGTTAGATCATTATTTTTTGGAAATCACAGCTTCAGCCAAGGGACTTTGCACATATTTCCCTTCTTCACTTTGGGGTTGAGTTCTTGTTCCTATAGGCTAAGCATCCAGAAAACATGTTCTGCCTCTCTTAGAGTATACATGATTTTCTCTGACAAGAAAAGAATATTGAGTGATGCTACTATTGTCTGCTCCTGCCATTTTTTATGTATGAAGACAGCATCCCATAACAGGACATGATCAAAAGCAAAAGGAATATGACTTACAAATTC